CATTTCATTTATCTTGGCTTCTACTGACAGTTCTCTGATGTTCTCTAACACCCCCCCCCCCCTCTTCTGGCAATCCCAGGCATCCAGTGAGTGAACTTTCCTTCAATACTGTGTTTCAAATGAGTTGCTTTCTTCTTACCACTGTCCAGCTTTCACAGTGTTGAGAAGAAACACTGTGGGGAAAAAACATCATAGAAAGAAAGTGCCAAGTTTTCCCTATTTAATTGATCTTTCAATCATGTCCCCATTTATTTTGGATTAAGTCACATTCAACTTTGCAGCAGAAAGGAAATGAGATATGAAACTGAAAAAGTGGAATTCCTGCATAACACAAATCACTTTTCCTGCTTGTAGCAAACTAGCTTGTGAAATAGAGATCTGTTCCATAGTCCTCTCCCCTTTGTGGTCTGTTTGTTCCATGAGGTTAGCATTCAAAATAAGACACCTCTACCCCACTGCCTCATAGCATAACAATATCCATTAAAGAATTTACCACCAGTCCCTTTCGTGTGCAAATTGTACCATCTCTCCTTGGCAAGTACGTCTATCAATGTGTCAAAAAGTCAATTAAGCATAAAGGGAAGTAACTGCACCTCTAATTAAAAGTATGCAATTCAATGCTACCAGGCATGGTAATAAATAACCATTGGTCTATCTGGACGTGGTATAGTTTAAACATGGATTCAAGTTCTTCCCACAAAGCATCTACTCCCATCACTACAGCCTCAACCTAACATCATGTGTGATTGCTTGGAAGTTCCTTGTGTGTATAGGTTTACAGTCACCCTTATGAGCAAGAGATAGACAAGTTATTTCTGAATAAACGTTATTTCAAAGTAAACAGTCTCATTTTTAAACTTTGCACACTGCATATCATATTCTGAACTGAGACCAGTAGAAGATTACAATCAAAATGGGATAGAAAAAAGATAAAAAGAATCAACTAAAACACATGTTTGCGAAGTCTTCATAAGCTAAAATATCAAAAACCTAAAACTGCTTGCACAGGTGGCTAAGATTGTGCCTTATAATAATTTAATGTACATAAACTTTGATTTGTGCATTTTAAAAATGGGTATAAGATCTAGAAGAAATGTAATTGGTGTTCAGACTTGGATCTCATCTCCAAGGTATCTCACTATGTACATGTATGCACAGGTATTCCAAAACAGGCATTCCAAAATCCCAAACATTTGTGGTTCAAAGATTTTTGGGTAAGTTACTCGACCTGTACATACGTAATATTTGAACTAATAAGAATGCATTCCCATACTAATTAAACCCTTAACTCAAGTTATCACTGTAGTTGTCAAAATTAGGGTGGGCAACAAGTTAAACATGAGCCAATAATGTGGCAGCTAAAAAAGCCAATGGGATTTTGGCCCACATAAATAGTAGTGTCTAGAACCAGGGAAGTCATGCTACCCCTCTATTCTGTCTTGGCCAAACCACACCTGTTATACTGTGTCCAATTCTGGGCACCGCAATTGAAGGGAGATGTTAACAAGCTGGAATGTATCCAGAGAAGGGTGACTGAAATAATCAAGGGTCTGGAGAACAAGCCCTATCAGGAGTGGCTTGAAGAGGTGGGCATGTTTAGAGAAGGCTGAGACATGATAGCCATGTATAAATATGTGAGAGGAAGTAATAGGGAGATGGGTGCAGGCTTGTTTTCTGCTGCCCTCGAGACAAGGACCTGAAACAATAGCTTCAAACTACAGGAAAGGAGATTCCACCTGAACATTTGGAAGAACTTTCTAACTGCAATAGCTGTTCAGCAGTAGAGCTCTCTGTTCTAGAGTGTGGTGAAGTTACTCGACCTGTACATACTTTTAAACAGACTTTTAAACAGACTCTGGGTGGCCATCAGGGGTGCTTTGAATACAATTTTGCTGCTTCTTGGCAGGGGGTTGGACTGGATGGCCCATGTGGTTCCTTCCAACTCTATGATCCTAGAGTGTGCATTAGATTTGCATAATACAGTTATCTTACTGGTGTGTCAAAGTAAAAGGGGAAGCTGTACCTGGAGCTTCTATTTGCGGGACCTCATTTCAAATGTAACTGTTAGGGTTCAATGCTATGCAATCCTGGGATTTGTAGTTTGGTGAGGCACCAGACTTCTTTCACAGAGACCTTGTAAAACTCCAGCCCTCATGACTCCATAGCACTCATAGTAGGCTGTTAGGAATTATGGGAGTTGAAGTCCAAAACACCCGGAGGGCCAAAATTTGCCCACGCCTGCTCCATAGCACTGAGCCAGGGCAGTGGATTCATTCTAAAGCAGGTTCAAAATGGATTCATTTTATAGCAGGCATGGGCAAAGTTTGGCCCTCTTGGCGTTTTGGACTTCAACTCCAAAACACCCAGCTGTTTAATAATTAAATATTATTATGCGGGAAGGGGCCGGAGGCTTTTAGGAATTGTGGGAATTGAAGTCCAAAACACCTGGAAGGCCAAGGTTTGCCCACATTTGCTCCATAGCATCGAGCCAGGGCAATGGATTCATTCTATAGCAGGTTCAAGGTGGATTCACTCTCGTCCTCCTCCTCCGGCCCAGGAAACTTTGGCCCTCTGGGTGTTTTGGACTTCAACTCCAAATTACCCCGCTGTTTAATTATTTAAAGGGAATTATTATTAAGCAGTGGGGAAAGGAAGGGGCCTAAGGCTGTCAGGAATTGTGGGAGTTGAAGTCCAAAACCTCTAGAGGACCAAAATTTGCCTGTGTCTGCTCCATAGCATCGAGCCAGGGAAGTGGATTCATTCTATACAAGGTACAAAGTGAATTCACTCTATAGAAGGCACGGGCAAACTTCGGCCCGTCGTGTGTTTTGGTCTTCCAACTCCAAAACACCCTGCTGTTTAATAATTTATTATTATTAAGTGAGGGGCGGGGGCGGGGGAGAATGGGGCCTGAAGCTGTTAGGAATTGTGGAAGTTGAAGTCCAAAACACCTTGCTCCATAGCATCAAGCCAGGGCAGTGGATTCATTCTATAGCAGGTTCAAAGTGGATTTACTCTATAGCAGACACGAACAAACTTTGGCCATCTGTGTATTTTGGACTTCCAACTCCAAAATGCCCAGCTGTTTAATAATTTAAGTGGGATTATTATTAAGTGGGGGAAAAGGATGGAACCTGAGGCTGTTAGGAATTGTGGGAGTTGAAGTCCAAAACACCTGGAGGGTCAAAGTTTGTCTGTTTGTTCCACAGCATCCAGTCAGGGCACTGGATTCACTCTATAGCAGGCATGGGCAAAGTTCATCCTTCCAGGTGTTTTGGACTTCAACTCCAAAACACCGAGCTCTTTAATAATTTAAGCAGGGGCCTGAACTGTTAGGGGCCTGAACTGTTAGGAATTGTGGGAATTGAAATCCAAGACATCCGGAGAGAGGGCCCAAGTTTTCCCATGCCTATTCCATAGCATCGAGCCAGGGCAGTGGATTCATTAAATACCAGGCACTCTATAGCCCACATAGGCAAACTTCAGCCCTACGGGTGTTTTGGACTTCAACTCCAAAACACCCTGCTGTTTAATAATTTAAGTGTTATTATTATTAAGTGGGGGGAAAGGATGGGGCCTGAGGCTGTTAGGAATTGTGGGAACTCCAAAACACCTAGAAGGCCAAAGTTTTGCCTATGTCTGTTCCATAACATCGAGTCAGGGCAGTGGATGGGCCCCCGGTGGTGCAGTGGGTTAAAGCCCTGTGCCGACAGGACTGAAGACCGACAGGTCGCAGGTTCGAATCCGGGGAGAGGCGGATGAGCTCCCTCTATCAGCTCCAGCTCCTCATGCGGGGACATGAGAGAAGCCTCCCACAAGGATGATAAAACATCAAATCATCCAGGCGTCCCCTGGGCAACGTCCTTGCAGACGGCCAATTCTCTCACAACAGGATGCTCCTGACACGACAAAAAAAAAAGGGGGGGGGGCAGTGGATTTACTCAATAGTAGGCATGGGCAAAGTTCATCATTCCAGGTGTTTTGGACTTCAACTCCAAAACACCCTGCTGTTTACTAATTTAAGCAGAATTATTATTACGCGGGGGGGGGGGGAGGATGGGGCCTGAGGCTTTTAGGAATTGTGGGATATGAAGTCCAAAACACCTGGAGGGCCAAAGTTTGTCTATGCCTGTTCCATAGCATTGAATCAGGGCAGTGGATTCACTCGATAGCAGGCATGGGCAAACTTCAGCCCTCCAGGTGTTTTGGACTTCATCTCCAACCCAACTGTTTAATAATTTAAGCGGAATTATTATTAAGCGGGAGGAAAGGAGGGGGCCTGAGGCTGTTAGGAACTGTGGGAACTGAAGTCCAAAACACCTGGAGGGCCAAGGTTTGCCTCTGCCTGTTCCATAGAATCGAGTCAGGACAGTGGATTCACTTGATAGCAGGCATGGGCAAACTTCAGCCCTCCAGGTGTTTTGGACTTCATCTCCAACCCAGCTGTTTAATAATTTAAGCGGAATTATTATTAAGCCTGAGGCTGTTAGGAATTGTGGGAGCTGAAATCCAAAACACCTGGAGGGCCAAAGTTTGCCTCTGCCTGTTCTATAGCAAAGGTTCCTCTTTCCCATGGCTGAAAGCTTTTGCTCCTCTGCCAGGCGGCCAGCAACTTTTTGAGAATTGAGAGGGAAGCGCGAGAAGCCACGAAGCCAAAATAATAACAATAATAATAATGTAGAGGAGAATTGTGAGGGATCTGCAGAGGCGCGAAGCACTTCCTTTCTTTTTTTTCTCCTGTCAGGCTCCTGCCACCTTTCCCTCCAAATCCCTCGCTTCAAGTCAGGCTCTCCTCTTTCCGAAGAAGGGGGCGAGCCTGGCTCGGGGCGAGGGATTTGGAGGGCAAGGTGGCGGGCGGGGGCCTGAGGCGAGGCTTCTCCTCCCGAGGCTGGGCCTGCTCGCCGCCTTCCCACTCCCTCCCTCCTCGCCTCCCTCCTCCTCCTCCCGGTTCGGGGGGTCCCCGGGCTCGGCCCCCGAACGCCCCTCTCTTCCGTTCGCCATGTCATTTCCTGTGCTAATAAGATGGTGGTCACGGCCGGGAGGGAGGGAGCCGCCGCCGCCGCCGCTTCCTCCCCTGCCTGCTCGCCCGGCCCGGCCCAGCCACTCGCCCCCCTCCTCCTCGTCCTTCTCCTCCTCGCCCGGGACTAGCGAGCCAGGCCGGGCCGGAGGAGGAGGGCGACGAGGCGGAGGCGGAGGGAGGCGGCGGGCGCGGGGAGCCCCCAGGCGCCGAGCCCGGGCCGAGGTGAGTCAGCCCCTTCGCTCGCCAAGGTGGCCACGGACACAGCCGAGGGGGGCGCCGCGAGGGGAGAAAAGGGGGGCGAAAAGGGCTCAAGGGAGGGCGCCGTGTGTGTGTGTGTGCAGATCGAGGGGGGTCCTTTGGTTTGAAAAGGGCGCGGCCAAGCAGGCAGGTAAGTAGCCGCCTTGGCTCCCTCTCGCTCTCTCTCCCCCTCCTCCTCCTCCTCTTCTCCTTCTTCCTGAGGCGAGTGCTGAGCGCGGAACAACCCGGCCCCTTCCTCCCTTCTCCAATGCCTCCTCCCTTCTGGCGCTCTCTTTTCATCGCCCCCTTCCCTTCCTGAGTGGCGTCGCCGCGGACCAATGAAAGTGCGAGGAATCTCCTCTCGGGGCGGGGCCGCCAGAGAAGGAGCCAATGGCTTTCGCGAAGGAAGGAGGGAGGGGGAACACGGTGGAGGGTGTTTGTGGGTCGCAGGGTTTCGAAGGGGCTTTTGGGGTTCCCGCGTCAAAGACACTCTGAGACTTTTCTCTAAAGAGAGGAGCTCAGGAGGAGGCAGGGAAGGAGATCTCGAAGTCCCTTCCACACAGCTGAATAAAACCCCGCATTATCTGTTTTGAACCGGGATATAGGGCAATGTGGACTCAGTGCCCTTCCACACAGAGGCAGGGAAGAAGCTTCCAAAGGGTGGATTGTGATGGCAGGGGCCCCTTCCACGCAGCTGAATAAAATGTCACATCTGTTTTGAACTGGGATATAGGGCAGTGTGGACTCAGAGACCTTCCACACAGCCCTATATACCAGAACATCAAGGCAGGAAAATCCCACATTATCAGAGTTTGTACTGAGAGCCCTTCCACACGGCCTTATATCCCAGAATATCAAAGCAGAGGATCTCACATCTGCTTTGAACTGGGCTATCTGAGTCCACACTCAGATAATGTGGGATTTTCAGCCTTGATATTCAGGGATATAGAGTTGTGAGAAGGAGCCCTCACATAACCGAGGTTAAAGCAGATATTGTGGGATTTTTTGCCTTGGTATTCTGGGATATAAGGCTGTGTGGAAGGGCCCTCAGATAACCCAGTTCAAAGTAGATATTGTGTGTTAATCTGTCTTGATATTCTGGGTTATATGGCTGTGTGGAAAGGCCCTGGGTGGATCATGGCTTTTTGCAAGGGTTCCTTGGGTGTTTTGGGCCTTTTTAGGAGGGAAAAGCAATGCTGGCTGTGCCACATCGTGCCTTGAACAATGTTTACACTCTTGAGCATCTCTTATCTGAAATTTTTGGGGCCTTGAAGTGTTTTGGAGTTTGGATTTTGGGAATATGTGCATGCATGTATAGAATACGTGCCAACAGTGTGGTTTGAGTATTGGAAACTTTAAAATGTTGGATCCTCAGCCATTCATGGAAGCACACAGAGGGCCCTTCCACACAACCATATAACCCAGAATATCTGCTTTGAACTGGAATATTTGGCATTGTGGACTCAGATAACCAAGTTCAAAGCAGATATTGTGGGATTTCCTGCCTTGATATTTTGGGTTATATGGCTGTGTGGAAGGGCCCTGGGTGACCTTGGGCAAGTCTCTCTCTCTCTCTCTCTCTCTCTCTCAGGGCCCTTCCAGACTGGCTCTATCTCAGGATCTGAGCCCAGGTTTTCTGTTTATACCAGATTACTGTCAGTGTGAACTCATATAATCTAGGTTAAAGCAGTAAACCTGGGATCAGATCCTGGGATATAGGGCCTGTCTGGAAGGGCCCTCAGGGTGCATTTAATGTAGTTTGACACCACTTGAACTGCCTTGGCTGAATACTAGGGGACGCTGGAAGTTGTAGTTTGGTGAGACACCAGCACTGGTTGGCAGAGAAGGCTAATGACATGGTCAAATGATAACTCCTGCGATTCCATAGCAATGAATGCCATATTCAGAGTGATGTTAAACTGCGTGAATTCTAGAGTGTGGATGCATAAGTCTCAGAGGGTGCGGAAAGCCAAACCCTTTGAACAGATTCTTCCAGGACAACTTTATGATAGGTTTGTCATAAGTCAGAAATGACTTGAAGGCATTGTTGTTGAAGTAACAACAATATAATGAAATAACTCAAGGATGAAACCAAAGCCTGAACATAAAATTTATTTATGTTTCATATACACCTTATACACGTAATCTGAAGGCAATTTTATATCCATTTTTTAAAAATAATGTGGTGCGTGAAACCAAGTGTGTATACATTGAACCATTAGAAAGCAAAAGTGTCACTATCAGTCACCCATATGGACAGATTTGAATTTTGGAGTGTTTCAGATTCCAAAATTCTGGATAAAGGATGCCCAATTTGTATTAATCTCCCATTATCTGCACACATCCTTGATACAAAAGTGGTGTTGCCTATCTATAATTTTCAGAAGAACTACAGCTTGGAATCTGATTTTTGATTTCGTTCTTTTTGCTATGTGAATAGCTGGACTGGAGTAGGCCAGCCTGGGGCTATCATATATGTACAGACAGTCCCCAGGTCACAAACAAGATAGCTTCTGTTGGTTTGTTGTTAAGTTGTTTGTAAGTTGGAATATGTATATATTTTTAAGTGTAACTCCAGCCTTTAGCTTTGGATAGCATAGGGAAGGGTTAACACCCCTGTGGTGCTTGTTTTGCTGCCTGTGCCCCTGTTCAGAAGATTTCACCTCACTTTCTGTCCCTGTGATAATCGGATTTTGAAAAAAAAAATAGCTTGTTGTGGAAACATGAATTGGAGATAAATCTTCAGTGGATACACCTTTTCCCCATGATAACTCTTTCAGGGGTGAATTTATCTTCTGAGGAGTAGACTTTTCTCACTTCCTGTTGTCTCATCCCCGTTGTTTTGTAAGTCAGATGTTTGTAAAAGGGGGTCTGCCTGTATTGATGTAGTCCGGTGTGTGCCGGACTACAAACAGCTTGTTTGACGCAAGAAGTGATGACCACTTTTGGATGAAATATCTTATGGGTGGAACTGAAACCTTAAAAGAGTTGTGTGACTTGCAGATCAGCTGTTTGAAATGAAGGTGGTCCTCAACTATCTCTGACTGCCTCTGTTCTGGATTGTGAACAGAACAACCTAAAGAATTGCAGAATTATAGAATGACAACAACCATGGGAGGGTAGTGAGGTTTTTTTTCATTTTTTTTCCTCTTAATTTCCCTATTCTTTTTCTGAAATCAATGAAAGCATGAACACATATGTCATACTGAAGCTTCAAAGAAAAGTACTGTCATATGGTTGAAACATGAGTTTCATAAGGTGCAAAAATAATGTGCACTGATTTTTGGAACAGCCCCAGATTATGACTGGATGGTGTGATTTTAATAGTGATTATAATGTGTATATGTTTTAATGTGCTTTAAAACTCAAATTTTAAAATTTTAAATTTTTAACTTAAATGTATTTAATTGTTGTTCTCTAAAGGCATCAAATAGTTGTCATTTGTAAAGCCACCTTGAGTCCCCTTCAGGGTAGAGAAAGATGCGATATAAATAGAGTAAAAAAATAAATAAATTGTGTTAGGCAGGGAATGCTCAGAGATGGTTAGTTATTGCCTACCTTATAACATCCAGCACCTTATATTACCTGGTAGTCTCCACTCGAAGTTGTAACCGCTTTGAGTCCCCCTCGGGGTGAGAAAAGCGGTATATAAATACTGTAAATAAATAAATAACCAAGCCTCACCCTGGATAACTTCCAATATCAGAAGGCATCTAGTGTCTTCAGAGTATTGGAAATGAAGAGGAGGTAAATGCAAAACTATCCCTGTTTTCAGACTACCCTATCTGGTGGCAGAGCTGCCATTGCCACATCAATTTTGCACCCACAATCATTGCCCTGGACACAGTTGACTAGACAGCTACTGCTTCTGGTAAATTAACCCCTCCACCATCCTAACCCTTAAAAATTAACAGATTTGAGGGTGAAAATCATTCTCTTAAGATTAGTTTCTGTTTTTAAGTAGATCTCAAACATAATTTTCAAATTACTTTGTCTGCTTTAGCCCCAGGATCCACAAATATTCTTTCTCTTACTTTTACAAGTAAAATAAAAACCAGTCCTATGCTCCCTTGAATTGTATTCCTTGCCCATGGGAAAGATTAGATTTTCCCTTCCTAGGATATAGAAAGCTTCCAAATCAAATTGGGAAATGTGACCTTAGATCCCTTTGCCCTGTTTCACTGGAAAGACATGTGGCTCTTTACTGTTATTGGAATGGAAGGACTAAGGTGTGATTTGGAAGAAATAGCTCAAGGTTATGTTTCTTTTAGACTACTCATGATAGTGGACTAAAGTAGAGATGAGAAGAGCATGGTCCTCAACTCATTTTTGTTGCCCTGCACATCTTCTAGACACAGCTTCTTAACCCTTTTCCACTCCTGACCTCTTTCCACTCAAGAAATGTTTAAATGCTCTAGGTATATCTATAAAATAGGTATATAAATCAAACATTTACTGATAAGTCAGTATTTGCAGGACTTCCTTAACAGGCTGTTCTTCCTTTTTATGAAATACAGCTGAAGCATCTTCTTCAGAGTACAGTCCAAGATTATGCAGTGGCTGTGTAAGGATTCAAACTGTGGTTTCCAGAGTTGTAGTTCAGTGCTCAAACCACTACATCATGTTGTCTTCTGGACTCCCAATTGAAAAACAATACTAGAGATATTTCCTGAAAACCTCCCAAATCATCCAAAATGAGTCTGATTGTGCTGTTTTGTTCCATACAAGCATTCCACCCCAAAACCCCAAATTTCTGAAAAATCAAAGCTGGAAATGATGTCCCAGTGCTCCCAGACTGCCCATAACATATCAATGCAATCCACTGGAGAAATGTGAGGATGGAAATATTGACCCGAGGGACTGGCTCTTATCCCCAGCATGTCTGTTTACTTTCTGACCCAGTGAAAACAAGTAACTTATCCCAGTTAGTATAGAATTTATTTCTAATCTAAAAAATGTGTGGTGTTGAATCTTGAAGAGTTTTG